GGTCTCCCTTCATGCATCGAAGAAGGACGAGTTGTTTGTTCTTGAGCCCCCTAAACCCTGAACCCTAAACCCTAAACCCTACACCCGTGGTGCCTCAAAGGTTTCTTAGAGCTCTGACTTGAGAGCTCATTGAGGAGCGTGCTGCCCGTTGGCAGCGTCAAGACCCAGCATGTTACAAAAAAGGGTTTAGGGTTTAGGGGCTAGGGTTTTAGCGCCTCCTTGCTTTCTGGATGAAGTCGGGGCGTCTTCATCGTCGCCACACTAAGTCTGCAGCAAACGCCCCAGAAGCCACCGGCAGGGGTCGATGTTCTCCTGTGAGTGTTCTTCGAGTGTTCTAAGACCCAAACCCCAAGTCTAAACCCGAAACCCTTGGCAAGGAGTTGCGGTAGCTCTCGCGGCTTAGGGGCCTTTCCGGCGGCCAACGGGCAGAAAGTTCGGGGAAACTGGGGTAGTTTGGGGGGTCCCTAAACCCTAAACCCTAAACCCTTAACCCTTAACCCTTAAGCCCTAAGCCCTGAACCCCGACACCCTAAGCCCTAAACCACGCGCCACAAGCCCCAGTCCCTCCGAGATCCTAACCCCCCCCCCCCCCCCCAAAGCATCCTTTAGGGTTTAGGGTTTAGGGTTTAGGGTTTAGGGTTTAGGGTTTAGGGTTTAGGGTTAGGGTTTAGGGTTTAGGTTTTAGTGGTTTAGGGTTTAGGGTTTAGGGCTTAGGGGGTTTAGGAGCTCAACACCAGAAATCCCAGAAGTATACATCCTGCATGGGTTTAGGGTGTAGGTTTAGAGGTAAAGCCTAAACGGTAGTCTCTGACCCTAAATCCTTAAAACGTACGCCCTAAGCATGTTTCGAGGCCTAGGGGCGGAGGGCTAGGATCAGGCGCTTTGGAAGCTTTAGGGGGCGGGGAGGTTAGGGTTTAGAATTTCTGCTTTAGGGCTGCATTTTGGGCTTACAGCTCACGGTTTTACGATTTGGGGTTTAGGGGGTTTAGGGTTTAGGGTTAAATTTCACACGTAAAGATCCAGCGGCTTGTAAGGGAGGGGGATTGTGAGGGCCGGTGTTTGGTACGACCGCTTTTGTCGACGTCTGAAGCCATCTGGCAAGAAACGTATCATTGGGGATATCAGGCATGCTGCATGGAGTGAGCAAGAGCAGACCAAACATAGAACCCAAACCCCTAGAACCCCCACACCCTATACCCGAAACCTTACGACTTAAGCCAACATCCCCCGAACATTGGGGGTGGGGCGGTTCAAGAGTTTCCCTAGGGTTCCTAGTTCCTGTAACAATGTATCGATTTTGCCCCTAAACCCTAAACCTTGAACCGTGAACCCTAAACCCTAAAAACCTTACACCCAATAAACCCGAAACCCTAAACCCTAAACCCTAAACCCTAAACCCTAAACCCTAAACCCTAAACCCTAAACCCTGCTTCCATTTGGTGCTGCATGGAAACGCCACCGGCCCGGGGGTGCCTGCGTCCAACATGGCAGGCTCCCAGGGCGTTTGGGGCTAAGCCGCCAAGCCCGCCTGGCCCTAAATCCTAAAGCTCCTAAACCCTAAACCCTAAACCCTAAACCCTAAACTTAACCCTAAACCCTAAACCCTAAACCCTAGACCCTAGACCCTAAACCCTAAACCCTAAACCCTAAACCCTAAACCCTAAACCCTAAACCTTAAACCCTAAACCCTAAACCCTAGACCCTAGACCCTAAACCCTAAACCCTAAACCCTAAACCCTAAACCTGCAGCCCGAAACCCTAGAGGCCGAAAGCCCCTAAAGCCGTACAAATCCTGAAGCCCGACCGCCTCAAACCTTTTTACAGCCCAAAAAGCCCTCAACCCCAAACCCTAAAACTCCCCGAGGAACCTTAACGCTAAAGACGAAACCCCAAACGCCCTAAGCAATAGCCCTCCCTATTTGTCCATGTACCCATAGAGTCTACACTTTGGCCCAAACGCTACTCCCTAATCCCTGAACCCTAAACCCTAAACCCTAAACCCTAAACCCCCTTTAAGGTCCAAGCACATACCATGTGGGTACATGGACCCTTGGGGCCTGTGAAGAGGTACGCGCAGCCTCCGGGAGCGCTCTGTGCGGGCTCTGGAGACTTGACGTGGCTAGGGTTTAGGGTTTAGGGTTTAGGGTTTAGGGTCTAGGGTCTAGGGTTTAGGGTTTAGGGTTTAGGGTTTAGGGTTTAGGGTTTAGGGTTTAGGGTTTAGGGTTTAGGGTTTAGGGTTTAGGGTTTTAGGGTTTTAGGGTTTGGGGTTTGGGGTTTAGGGTTTGGGGTTTAGGGTTTAGGGTTGTTTGGGAATTCTTGTTCTGAAAAAACAGAGGCGATGTTGCTTACGCTGTATCATGGGATCCTGATGCTTTTAGTAAGTCAGGGGCATACCATAAGCTACAGCCTTGTTCTGAAATTCGGTCGGATAAGCGAAGCAGCCAAAAAGCTGCCAACCCCACCCCCCCCCCCCGACCGACCCCCCCACCCCCCACCCCTGCCAACCAGAAAAAGAACGCCAGACAGCGAAACCCAGCGAAAACTAAAGCATGCAAGAAGGCAGCAGTCGTGAAGAGAGGAAGCAAGAACGCAGGACCATGTCGATTCCTCCACGCAGGCCGGGGTTGTTTAGGCTGCACGCACTTTCGCAGCCGACAAAGCGCTACGCAGGGGTGCGCATGAAAACCGCACCGTCCCGGCAAGGATGCACGGCCGGATGTCACAACAAGAGCCTCTGAAACATTGCGAACGTCGAGTTTAGGGCTTAGGGTTTCAGAGTTCAGGGTTTCGGGCTGCAGCGTTTGGATTTTTAGTGTTTAGGGTTTAGGGTTTGGGGTTTGGGGTTTAGGGTTTAGGGTTAGAGTTTTACGAATGTCGCCCGGCAGCAAGTTCGCCGCCGGTGGTGCGAGGAGCATGCAGAACCCGAAGCCCAAAACTCTCTAGACCCTACAAACCCTGAACCCTAAACCCTAAACCCTAGAGACCCTAAGCCCTCAACGCTGCTAAGCAGCCGAGATGTCTGAGCGTGTCGTGGCCAGACTTCAACGAAGCTTACTGGCTCTTAGCAGGGAACGGGGGAACGAGGTACCCTTAGAGGTTAGGGTTTAGGGTTTAGGGTATATTTATATATACAATCAATCCCTTAGAAGGGTATATATAGGGGGACGGACGGTACCCAATTCCCTCAGCCCCTACCAGGAACCAGCAGGAAACAGGGGGCGACGCGCAACGAGCGGATGAAATGTCATGTTGCACTGTTCGGCGGAGTCCTATGTGTGGCCCGGGCGCGCATGTTGGGGCCTAAGGACTGCCAAGCCAGCGCAGCCATTATAGGAGTTAGGGCTTAGGGTTTAGAGTTTAGGGTTTACGGTTTAGGGCATATCGACCCTCTGAATTGGGCCGGCACTTCGGCTGTTTGGATTCAGGGAGCCACGGCATGTTTCTTGATTTTCTTGATCCCTAAACCCTAAATCTTTGGGGGGGGGGGGGGGGGGAGGCCAAGAAACCTCAAGAGTTTGGGGTTTAGGGCGGGTTGGGGTTTTTGGGTTTAGGGGGATCAGTCAGCTTTTTGTCCGTGTTGGAACCCCCGAGTCCCAGATTCCTCTCATTCGCAGACATCGGGTTTAGGGTTTAGGGTTTAGGGTTTAGGGTTTAGGGTTTAGGGTTTAGGGGTACTTAAACGGTGTCGAAGTAGTTAAGTAGTTCTTGCAGGTGCAACTTGCAAGTATGCATCCAGTAACTTCTTAGGGTTCAGGGCTTAGCGTTTACTCTAAACCCTAAACCCGAAACCCTAAACCCTAAACCCTAAACCCTAAACCCCAAGCCCTATGAGCCTTGCCAAACACCGGCAAGGATTGGTACAGGTCTGTGACCATTCTGGCCATGGCAATGTGCTTGCTTTGTGCCGCAGCTGAGTTGCACAGCTGGTTCCCGCCCCTAAGCCCTAAACCCAAACCCCAAGCCCTATAAGCCTTACCCTAAACCCTAAACCCTAAACCCCAAACCCTAAACCCCAAACCCTAAACCCTAAACCCTAGCCCTAAACCCTAAACCCCAAGCCCTATGCGCCTTGAGGCCGATAATCCCGAAGCCCGCGTGGAGCCCGAGGGCCCCAAAGTCCTGCATCCTAAACCCTTAACTCTATACCCTAAACCCTTAACTCTATAACCCTAAACCCTAGCCCTAAACCCTAAACCCCAAACCCCAAACCCCAAACCCCTAATCTCAACCTTCCACCTTCCCTGAGGTGGCTTGAGCTATACAGGGCTTCGTCATTGAGATGCCAGGGTTTAGGGTCTAGGGTTGAGGGTGTAGGGTGTAGGGTTTAGGGTTTTGGGTGTAGGGTTTAGAGTTTAGGCCAGCCTGTCGCTGACCTGTTGCGTGGCCAGATTGAGATTGGTTTTCAAGGTGGTCCAAACTCGCAACCCCTACTGGGATCCTGGATGGGTCCTGAACCCCCTAAACCCTAAAACCCTCCACTTTGGTTCAAGAGCAAGGTTCCCTCATGAACCACGTCACATGATTTCATTCCTAAGTTACCTGCGAGGCGGGAATCGTTGAACTGCAGCCGCGCGAGGGTGTTCTTCAGAAACCCTAAACCCTAAACCCTAAACCCGAAATCCTGCGATTGGAGCACTAAACCCTAAACCGTAGACCCTAAGCCCGGAGCTACGACAAGTCACTTCTGCGGATGCCATGTGCATAATTATCCGGTGACTCATATGAAGTAGGGCTTATATTACTGTTACTGGTGAGTGTATATAAGTCTCCTTTTCAATATTGGTGAGTGTATCTACTCGGTGTCCTTTTGGGGATACAAGAAATAAAAACCCTACTTCATATGAAGTTGCCGGCTTTCCTTACTTCCCTGGCCCTTGCTTCCCTGGCGGCCCTGGCCGCAGTATTCCTGCTTGTCGCTGCAATCTATCGAAGCGATCCCGTGAAATTGAAGTTCTCCTCCGGCCAAACCCTGAACGGCTGCGCCAACTTTGGAAGTCGGGATGTTCCAAAAGGTCCACCCTCGAAGTCAGACACTTAGTTGCAGAGGAGGTCACCTTTAACCTCTTTGAGGTACTAGAATCCCCTTATAATCCCAAAGCTTCCCCTTAGTTCCCCAAGGGCACTGGACAGCAAAGGATATCGACTTCAGCCAGCAGCCGTCCTACTGGTTATCGACCATTGTGATCCCAGATGCCAAGCTGATCTTCTGTCCTCAGTACAAAGTGGGCACCAACGAGTACATGCGGCTTCTGCGGTGGCTCGATGGTCAGGACTACAATGTATTTAATCCCTACAATCAGAGCCACAGTGCTGGGAGGAACGTCTTCAATCTGACAGAGTTGAACGCGTATTCATACGAAGCTGCTTTGCAGATGATGTTCGACTCAGACTGGGCTAAGTTGGTCGTTGTCCGTGATCCGCTGGATCGCTTGCGCTCAGCATATTTCGATAAGATACGCCGCAGGCACAAGAACCCGCAACAGTTTGCGACAGCACTGAACATGCCAATTCCGGCTCTGTGGAACTTAAGCTTCGCTGCCTTTGTGAGACGAGTCGATGCTCAATTGAAACGCAAGGTGGTGAATATTCACTGGATGCCGCAAGCGCAAGCATGCAACTTAACGCGTTTCAAGAAGTACTACCAATACGTGCTGCCCCTCGGCCTGGACAAGAGCTCCCATCCGATGGTGCGTGATTGTGTACTTGGGATCATGAGGAGCAGAGTGAGTATGTCAAAGCTCTCCGCGCTGCAACACCTTGTTGTTGCGGACAGTATCAAGGGCAAACTACATAAGCATCAGACTAACTCAAGCCTCGAAATCTTCGACGAGATCTATGATAAGGACACTTGCAAGCTGGCTCTCCGAATCTACGCGGAAGACTACGACCTTTTTTCGCTGCCCAGGCCTACTTGTCATGACACTCCCCCTCGTGTAAGGTGGACAGTCTAGATGAATTTTGACACGTCCAAAGCGGTCAACCCGCACTGGGCTGCGCGCATCAAGGTGTTTGTTTTAAAGACATGAATATTGTTGAAAGCTTTATGCCACAAGACCTGGGCATCACGGCAAAAGCGTACGCGAGGCTTCCTGGAGCAAAGATCATGGATGGTGACAGGAATGATGGGGTGATTTTGGCTGGTTTTCGCCAGCGTGAGGTCCACGCAATTCTTGGGGGTCGTCAACGTCCCAGAGGAGTGCTCAGCCTCCCACCACAGAAGTGATCATGAAGATTATCAAGTAGCAGATGGAGCATGATGGCACCGCACGTATGCCTACTGGCTGTTCGTAGGGAATGAGGGAATTGACTCCGTTTACAGAAATTCGTCTGAAGTTCTTCTGGAACCCCTTAAAAGAAGAAAACGCCCCCTACTATATAACATCCCATAATATGTATATATATATATACATACATACATAATTCTTGTAAACTGGCATATTCCGTCCCTGAACCCTAAACCCTAAGCCCTAAGCCCTAAACCCTAAACCCCAAACCCTAACCCCTAAACCCTAAACGCTAAACCCTAAACCCTAATATATATATATATATATATATATAGTTGTTTTCCTCATGTTATGGTCTATACTCACCCAAGCTCGGACATCGAGATCCCCCCGCCGGCCCCTCCTGCAATCCCATAGACCCTTAAGCCCGCTAGGGTTTAGGCTTTAGTACCTTCCCTCCCACCCCCACCCCCTCGCAGTAAATATTCCCTTATCGTATAGGAGGTTTCCCAAGACACGGTTTTGGTTGTTTTTGTGGATGCCTCTGGCAAGGTTCTGTAGTCTTTTGGGGGTATAGTAGAGGTGCCCCTTTTCTGTGAAATGCCCAAAAACTAACTAGGATGCCCAGTAGTACCCTTATTCCCTTTTTGGCAGGTTCAGGTTCCCTTACAAACCCCTTTAAGCAAAAAAGGGCACCCTTTTTCATCCTAGGTTACTGGGCAACCTAGCTAATGTCATGATGGCATATCTATTGTTAGGGTATTCCTCTCCCTGTGCGGAGTCAGGTTCTGACAAGCTTTGTGGAGGACTCACGCTGCAAGGTGCCTTAAACCCTCAACCCTAAACCCTAAACCCTAAACCCTAAACCGGCTGACAAGGCACCGCGGATTGTAGACACGCTGTTCAGCAAGACGCGCGCGGTCGGCTGGCAAACTCCGAGGGGCAGAGTCTCGACAACCCGCTATTTAGGGTTTAGGGTTTAGGGTTTAGGGTTTAGGGTTTAGGGTTTAGGGTTCAGGGTTTAGGGTCTAGGGTTTCCTGAACCCCTCAACCCGACCCTATAAACCCTGAGACCGACCGAACACGCTGGGCTTCCGAGAGACCGACTTGGGGAAGCTCTTACTTGAGATGCCCTGATACCCTAAACCCTAAACCCTAAACCCTAAACCCTAAACCCTAAACCCTAAACCCTAAACCCGGATGAAGGCTAAATCTTAAACCAGGCTTGGGGTTTCGGAGTTCTAGGACCCAGCGGGGGCCCTGGTTCCCCTCATGTTTTGAGTTACGTTCTCCTTATAACATGGGTTAGGGATGGAGGCTTTAGGGCTTAGGGCTTCGGGCTTAGGATTTAGGGTTTAGCTTTTAGGGTTTGCGTAGGTGCTGTGAAGGCTAGGCTTTGGAACAAGCTCGAAAGCTTCGTGTGGCGCGAAGAGCAGCTTTGGCCCGATTGTGGAAGGCCATCAACACTTTTCTCCCACCCCATGCCGTCCGAGGCGGCAAAGCCACCCAAACCTATTCCTTTTAGGGTTTAGGCCGAAAATCACGGCAACAGTCCACTTCTAAAAACTTCTTCAGTTTCAGCACGTTTGGGGTTCGGAGCGGGGTCCACGTCCCGGCAGCATGGAGGGAGCCCCTTCTTTGTGCCAGCGAGGGTCGAGGTAGCAGGTTTGAATGGGATCCCGAGGTGTCCCAAGAGTCCTACGTCTGAATCCAAGAAACCAACATTTTCGAGCTGTCGGAGGCGGGCGAACGACCTGCGTCGGCTTGCGCATTGAGGTCGAGGGGCTTAGGCGCCGCCCCCCCAACTGTAGGGGGCGGCCTAGGCCCTGAGTTTAGGGTTTAGGGTTTAGGGTTTAGGGTTTAGGGCTTTTTCGGTTTAGGGTTTAGGGTTTAGGGTTTAGGGTTTAGGGTTTAGGGTTTCGGTTTTGCAGGCGGACCGAAGCGGTTGACCCCCAGCGGTTTCGTCAGAAGATCCAATCTTTGTGCCCACCGAGGGCTTGGTACCTATCTTGTGCTGGCGTGCGTCTGAAACCCCAAGCCCCAAACCCTAAACCCTAAACCTTAAACCCCAAACCCCAAACCCTAAACCCTAAACCCTAAACCCCAAACCCCAAACCCCAAACCCTAGACCCTAAACCCTAAACCCTAAACCCTAAACCCTACGTAAACCCTACCTGGGGCATCTTGGGAGCCTGACCCAGAGTGAAGGCAACATTGACACGGCTCATGCCCGAAACAAACACCAAGTTAGGGTTTAGGGTTTAGGGTTTAGGGTTTATTTAGGGTTTAGGGTTTAGGGTTTAGGGTTTAGGGTTTAGGGTTTAGGGTTTAGGGTTTAGGGTTTAGGGTTTAGTAGGGTTTAGGGTTTAGGGTTTAAGGTCCATGTGCCTGTATAGTATATATCTGAACCCCATAGCTAACCCCGTTAATGCCCAAGTACATACTTTCTAGGTACATGTAGGTTTTAGGGTTTAGGGTTTGAGGTTAAGGTTTTAGGGTTTAGGGATTAGGTTTTAGGGTTTAGGGCTTTGGGTTTTTGATCTTTGAGGGGGTTTGTGTTTAGGGTTTTGTCTACCTCCCCCCCAACGCACGCTTGAGTCGTCTGCGTGCATACATGACAAAATAGTTATCACTTCTTCAAATTATGGTCCCTTTTTGGGTCCTGATTCTAAGGCGGAGTTCTGTATACTTATCTTCCCATCCTAATCCTGACCCTAAGCGCTAAACCCTATAAGCACCAAACTCTGAACCCTAGAATCTCTCATGAGATTGAAGTCGTGCAGGTTCTAGCTTCGCAAGATGCGAGAATGAAAGCCCAGGTGAGGCACTCAAAACGGGCGGCGAAATTCAGCAGCTCTTTCCAAGGCCCTCAAATTTTCTCTTTTTTTTTCGGGTTTTTGGGGGTTCAACGCCAAGGGCTGAGATAGGGCTTTGGTGTTAGGCAACCCTTTTGTTTTCCCTAGGTTGCAGGTCAACACTGAACCCTGAGCCCTAAGTGTTGTAAGCCCGCGGCCCTAGACCTTAAACCCTCCCTACGGGTTCACTTCCAACGTGGTTTTTCGGAAGTTAAATGACGAGGTTTTGGTCAAGGAGCCTTGTATGTTACTTGGGAGGACATATGTTTTGTTGTGTTGTCTTGTCAGCACGCTGTGTTTGTCCGTAGGCTGGTTCTCGCGGCGCCCTGATGCTAACGGCGAAGAGGCATTTCGGAGAAGAAAGACCATCTTCGGAAATCTAGTGAACAAACGCACTGGTCACACGGACGTTCTCATCGCGCGGACATGGATGCTCTTACCATGGTAACACGGACGTTCTCATCGCGCGGACATGGATGGTCTGGCCATTTTGCACGCCCCCCACCCCCCCCCACCCCGCCAGCCCCTACAGTAGGTAACCTTAGGTTTAGGGTTTAGGGCTTAGGGAAGTGTAGGTCTTAGTTTCAGAGTAGGTAACCTTTAACCTTTTTGGAGTACTTGAATCCCCTTATAAACCCAAAGGGTACTGGACAACTAAGCTTAACCCTTGACCCTTCAACCCAAGACCCTGAACCCTCTGCAAGACCTAAGTCCCGAAAGGCTGAACCCTGCAAGGCCCAACATCCGAAGCCCGTACGCGCTGAAGCCCGACACGGTTTAAGGTTTAGGGGTTAGTATCGTGGGAGGGACATCTCAAATTAGGAGGGTGGCGAAGTCGTAGTAGGATGCGGGGGCATGTAGCTGTAGCAGCATGACAATGTGGATGGCTTGCGATGCGGTGCAGGAGTATGTCCCTTTACTACTTTACCCTTGCCCTAGCGAACCGACACTCTTAAGCCCCTAAACCCTAAACCCTGAACCCTAAACCCTAAAGCCCCCAAACCCTAAACCACAAACCCTAAAAATCGAACCTTTTGGGGACTCCTGTGATCCACCATCCGGAGAATCTGCGGGACTGACTCATCCCATCGCATACCATAGACTCAAGGCGGACGACTTGAAGCATTCGTTTAGGGCTTAGGGTTTAGGGTTTAGGGTGTAGGGTTTCAGGTTAAGGGTTTTTTGGGGTTTAAGGGTTTTGTTTCAGCCTTTTCTCATGTAAGCTATTCTGGCAAGCTGGAAACGCGAGAAGTCTCCAAAGACAGTGAAACCCCCCAAAGGCCTAAAGCCCTAAACCTCAAAACCCTGAAGTCCCAAGCCCTCCTGAACACTAATATCCCGAAAGCCCTGAAACCCTAAACCCTAAATCCTAAACCTTGAAACCTTGAAACCTTTAAACCCTACAAACTGCCTGCTGGACCTGCAGACTCTCTATCGCCTGTCCTGGGCTTTGCCCCTCAAGCTCTGAGTATTACTTGGGATGATCCCCGTTATACTCGCAGTCCTTAGTAGGGGGTACTCTAGTCCCTATTAAGGACTTCTAGTACAATGGGGAACATCCCAAAACCCTAAACCCTAAACCCTAAACCCTCAACCCTAAACCCTAAACCCTAAACCCTAAACCCTAAGCCCTAAACCCTAAACCCTAAACCCTAAACCCTAAACCCTAAACCCTAACCTGGAGTGCAGGCGCATCGGAGGCACCATCGTCATGGGCATCGAGGCGCCCCCCATCGGCCGCACCCCTAAGGGTTTAGGGTTTAGGGTTTAGGGTTTAGGGTTTAGGGTTTAGGGTTTAGGGTAAGGGTTTAGGGTTTAGGGTATAGGGTTTCCTAAAGGGGCTTCAGGGTCCTGAACCCTAGGCGTTAGAGG